ACGATAAAGTTTTCGAGGCCGAGACGCCTGCTGTTGCTGCCTCGCTGCTTCGGACTAGTGGTCTCCCCCTCGTCCGCCTCCTTGGTGAGAGGCTGCTTGTGCCGCTGCCTGCGCCCCCTCCTGCTCCTCCTCCTCCTCCTCCTCCTCCTCCTCCTCCTCCTCCTCCTCCTCCTCCTCCTCCTCCTCCTCTTCCTTCGGAGGTGTGAACGCACGGGGGCCCCTGCAAGCTGGACGGGGATATTTTCCTCGACGGGGGTCTCCTCGACGGTGACCTCTCGCCCTCCGCCCACAGTCTGTCCTTGGCTCTGGTGGCCGTCGAGGACGATCGGCCCGTCGCGGCCGCGGTCGTAGCCGGGGCTCCCAGCAGGATTGTACGACATTGACGCCTGTGAACTCTGGGCCTTTCTAATGGCTCCCCGTCTTGCGCTTCCTGGGGCTTCTTTTTGGGACCGATCCCCAGTTTGTGTACAACGGTGCTTTCAAGAAGGGCAGAGCTTTTTGCTGCTCGGCCAAGGCGGCCTGGGCCGATCCTTGGATCTTGGTGCGGGCCTGTCTCGAGGATCGGGGGGGGGTGGAGTGTCTTCGCCTGCACAAGGTCCAGGCCCACACCTCGATAGGTGATCTGCAGCGCGGTGTCACCACCAAACGCCAGCGCACGGGTATCGCCGACGCTGCGGCTACGGAGGCTGCTGCTTTCACCCGTGCGCCGCTGGCTTACCGTGATAATTTCACGAGCCAGGCTAAGGCAGTTAAGTTCCTCACGGCCTGGACTGGTAGGATCGGTGTGAAGATGGCCGACTTTGACGCCCTGCACGTTCCCCCCAATAAGCGGAAGCTCGTGGTCACACCACCTGAGCCGGTGGTTGCCCCCGTCTTGTCTCGCGCTGATGTTGCGCTCGCCGTGCTCCGCAGAGGGGGACCACGTCACCCGCAGAGCGTTCCCGATTTCGCTCCCGAGTGGCGCGACAGGCATCGCGGGTGTGAGTTGTGGCGCTGGGGGCTGTTCGCTCCACGCTTCCTTTGGAGCCCCTTGTCCCCAGCGCCCCAGCGCCTGGGGCCGCCAAGCGCTCCAATGTCTAGCTGGAGGCGAGTACTTCGCGGGCAAGGCGTGGGTCTCGCTCCCCGAGCCGTGGAGGCCACGGGATTTCATGGAAAGTGGGCCGGCCTTTCGGCCTCCCTGGCGTGTGGGGAAGGGGGGGGGGCCCTGGCGCTGGCCCTTGTCATGGCGCTCTTCAAGCTCTGGCATGGTGACAAGATGGTCTCGCTCCGATGGGCCCCCCCCTTCACAGTTTTTGGTTAGGACTGAGGGACCGCTCTTCCTTCTTCCTCTGATTCGAGCGCAGGAAGAGGAGGAGGACAGGAGGAGGAGGAGGAGGAGGCGGAGGAGGAGGAGGAGGCGGAGGAGGAGGAGGTCGAGGACCAGGACGAGGCCCAGGATGAGAAGCAGGAGCAGTGAAGAGAGAGAGGTGTAGCAGGAGGAGGAGGAGGAGGAGGAAGAGTAACACAGAGGTGCAGGTGGGCAGGTGTGGAAAAATGTGTGAGGACGGAGAGAAAAAGGAAAATTATGCGGGGACGGGGTGATGATGATGATGATGATGATGATGATGAAGATGATGATGATGATGATGATGATAACGATGATCATGATGATGATGTTGTTGATGATGATGCTGATGACGATGATGATGATGATGATGATGATGATGATGGTGATGACGATGACGATGATGATGATGCTGATGATGATGATGGTGATGATGATGATGGTGATGATGATGGTGATGATGATGATGGTGATGCTGATGATGCTGATGATGATGATGATGATGATGATGATGAGCTGGAGGAGTGGACGAGGAGATGCAGGACGAGGATCCCCCCTGTCCTGGTCCATCCTCCTGCTTGTCCTCAGCCGCATCATCAGCGTTACCATCAAAATCGTCATCATCAGCATCATCAGCACCATCATCATCATCATCATCATCATCATCATCATCATCATCATCATCATCATCATCATCATGATGATCATCATCATCATCATCATCATCATCATCATCATCATCATCATCATCATCATCCGTACACGTTTCGGTTCACTTGAGCTGGGCCGCGGAGAGGCCCTCGCATCCTTGGCGGCGAGCAAGCGGCAGCGCCCATCGCAGCTCGGCCTCTCTCCGGCGGCGGCTGTGGTGAGGCGGACCGGTTCCGCACCTCACCCCGTGTGTGTTGCAAGCCGCCGCGGCACCCCTGCAGCGCAGCAGAGCACGTCGCGCGCCCCCGGGCAGCGCCTGCTTGGTTATATGTTGCTCGAAGAATGAAATATGTAGAAGCATAAAGTTTCGGCGCTCCGCGCGGATTTCCTGGATCGGCGCTGGGCCCCCTGGCGGCGCCTCCATCGAGGGGGTTCAGCACAGGTCCAAGAAACCCGCGCGGACCTTCAAAAGCTCATGTTTCTGCAGCTTTTGCTTCATTATTCTATCGGACCAAGGCTGTGATCTGTGGGGACGCCCAGCAGCCTCTTGCGGCGGTGCCCCTCGGGCGCTGGGTGGATGCACGGACAGGGACGGTGCAAGAGGCCGAAGCCACACTTTATGGTCTGTGACTTTTGGATGGCGTATCGCTCCGCCGGTTCTGGCCCACCATGTTGCGGTGCGACACGCTATCCACTTCCGGCCCTCCAGCGTCAACGTCCAGAGCTTTTCCGAGCCTTCCGCCCCGCGGAGCGGAGCGACACGCTATCCACTCGCAAGGCATAGCGTGTCGCCGGGGCCGCCGCTGCGACACGCTAGGCAAAAGTTCCCGACCGTATGCCGAGGTGGCGGCTCACGGCCGAGGACCAGCTCAAAGTAGCTCTCCTTCTGGACAGCAGCGGTGCACGTCACGTTGGCCGATCACTTGGCGGAGGCAGCTCGCTGGGCAGCTGGGGCCGAGCGCGGCAGCGGCGCGGTGCCAGGCGGCGACCGAGGCGGCGCGCCGGGCTCCTTCCCCGGGCCAGCGGCTGCGGGGCTGGTCGGACGGGCAGGCGAAGGCGGGTCGGGCGGGCGGGGCATGACGGGCGGGTTGGACGGGCGGGCCTTCGCGGGCGGACCTTGGCGGGCGGGTTATCTCGGGGATGTCGGGCGAGGGCGCGCGATTCTTGGTGGGCGAGGGTGCGGTTCCCGAGTGGTGAGAGTGTATAATTCTCAGTGCGTTACAGGGAACTCTCAAGCGAGAGCGCGGTTCCTGAGCGAAGAGAGCGCGATTCCCGCTTGATGTCTGGGGAAGTCCCAGACGAGAGCGCGGTTCTTGAGTAAACTGGGAAGGCGCCTCGAGTGAGAGCGCGATCGCTGAACGAACTGTGAGGATGTATTCGGCGGGAGCCGTTGTCGTTGTAGCTCGGGCCCAGGGGCGCAGCTTGAGCAGGAATGTCTGCCTTACAACTTGAGTCGGCGCAAGTGTCGGTGGGGAACTTCCATTGAAAAAGGCGAAATGGGCACCAAACAAGGTAGACGGACGACAATCATTCTTAAGAAGAGAGAACTCAACATAATCATTGTAAGGTTGCTCTCTCTCTCTCTCTTCGCCGCCCGCGTCCCATCCAACATGTATTATTGCCCAGGCCCTTGACCCCCGCCTTCTTCTCTCGAACGGACCCCTTTGGGGGCTTCTTCTGCCATGCCATTTAATGGGTCAACCCCGGCTGGGTAGGACAAGCGGGCCGGTCGGGCGGTGTTGAGTGGGTCGGGCGGGCGGACCCTCATGGGCGGGTCGGTCGGGCGGGACATTGAAGCACAATTCCTGGACAAATCTTAGGAGGGTACCGGGCAAGAGCGCGATTCAGATTCTTAAGTCGTGTGTGGGAAATTTTGGGCGAGAGTACAAGTCTCGAGTGGCGAAGCCGCAATTCCTTAGTAAATCGCGAGGGAGTCCCAAGCGAAAGCACGATTCCTGAGCAGCGGGAGCGCGATGTTTGATTCATTGGGAATTTCCCAGCGAAAGCGCGATTCTTGAGTAAGTTCTGTAGAAGTTTCGAGCGAGAGGATGATCCTTCAATCATGGTGAGGATGTACCAGGCGGGAGCGGCCGTTGTTGTAGCGGGGGGGGGTCGAAAAAACAGTTTGAAGCCCAATAATTTCTTTGATGAGAAGCACGGTGCGAGCGCCCCCGGGGGGGGGGATTTCAGTTGAGCAAACCACAGTGGGCACAAGTGTGTGAGGGGCATATAATTTGTCTTCGGCACTGACCGTGCAACAAAAACATACGCAACGCCGCGCGCAAACTCGCCCCTGTCATGCCACGACTCACATGTCCATCCCAGACAGGCGCAGCCCGATAGCTCCAAATGCACCGCGGGTGAGGGACGCGAGGACACCGTGGACGGCGACCGCGGCTGCGGAGGCCAGGCCGATGGCGACGGGCCGACTTCGAACTGATGTGCCAACGGGGATTGGGCAACGCGCTCTCGTGCGCTCAGCGTTAACTCGGGCACGTCCCTCCACAGGAGGAATATTTATAAATAGGCAAGAAATAATCCGGGGACGGTTTTCCTACTATTTTTTGATTTGTTTCCAAAATCCGCCTGTAGGGGGACGTGCCCGACCTAAGCTCAGCGGAGTGGCAACGACGAACGCGCTCGCGTGCGCTTCGGCCACGCGCAGAGGGGGGATGGGGGGGGGAAGGCTTCTTAGAAGCACCCCTGCTTCTTAGAAGGCGCGGGCCTTCTCTATACATGTAAGGCCGGCGCCTCCTAAGAAGCAGCCCCCTAACTTACCCCCCTCTGCGCGCCGCCAAGCTTAGCGGAGTGGCACGGACGAAAAGGCGCCAGCCACGGCA